AGAAAACAAAAAATTAGTTGGCCGTGGTGGCACAAGCCTGCAGTCCCAGCTACTTTGAAGGCTGAGGTGGAAGGATAGCCTGAGCCCAGGAGGTTGAGGCTGTGGTGGCCACGAGAGTGCCACCGTACTCCAGCCTGGGCAACAAAGTGCGACTCCAACTCAAAAAAAAAAGCAAAAAAAAGTTATGGAATTTTGTGAGTGGCTCCCAAACCTTAAAGTCCTATTGGTTGTGCCCCTTCTCACACCTGTGTCTCCCAGATAAGTACCTCTCATGTGATCAAATCTGGGGAAGGGGGACTGGCTGAGAGTTACAAAACTAGTCATCTCTGGAGGGCTTCAGATGCTTGTTCATGCCCTTCCACTGCTGGCTGTGACAACTGTTTAAAAAGAGCTTGTGGCATTGGGGCAGAGCAGGGCTGGACGACTCCACCCTGCACACACAGGTGACCTGGCTGGCAAGAAGCAAGGATGGTGTGCTACAAGGCCAGTGCTAGGGTGAGGCCAGGGATGCACCTTGGCACAGAATTTGAGACAGGGTCTCACTCTGCCACTCAGGTTGGAGTGCAATGACGCAATCATAGCTCACTGTAGCCTTAACCTCTTGGGCTCAGGCAACCCTTCTGCCTCAGCCTTGGTCTAAGTTCTAGTAGCTAGGACTACAGGCACTCATCACCACACCCATTTTTGTATTTTCTGTAGAGATGAGGTCTTGCTATGTTGTCTAGGCTGGTCTCAAACTCCTGGGCTCCACCAATTCTCCTGACTTGACCTCCCAAAGTGCTGGGATGACAGGCGTGAGCCACCATGCCCAGCCATTGGGCACAGAATTTGAGGAGGCTCTCCCTCTCAAGGGCAGAACTTGCACAACACTGGGAAGAAGTGCCTCCTTAAACCCTGTGCCCAAGGCACCTTGCCTGCCCTACTCTCATCCCGGTCCCATGATGTGGGGTGCCTCAACTCAACTCCCAGAAAACTGGGGATCTGGATAAGCTCCCAGGGCCAAGGAGATGACCCTGTCCTTCCCAGATCTCTGAGAAAGGGGGAGGGGAGGTCTTGTCATGCCGAGAGCACACCTGTCCAAGCAGCCTCCTCTGCTAAATAAATAGGTAATGCTACAGGTTCCAGGGCCCAGCCTCTGCCACCATCTTCCAAGCTCTAAGGTGCAGCATGTGGCAACTGCATGACCACCACCCGCTACGGTCCAGGGACAAAAGGAACCTGAGCAAGCCATTCCCAAGAGGCAAGAAACACTGGCTGCGTTCTCTGAATTGAATCTCTGGTGCCCTCTGCTGGTATGATCATGGCAAGGAAACATTCTGCACTGAGGACACACTGGAGGACACTTGCACTGGCCTGGAAAGCAGAAAGGGTTAAAGTTAACCAAAAATACATTTTAAGAAAAAGTGAAGACTTGAAGATGTCCATTTTTTTTTTTTTTTTTGAATCAGGGTCTCAGTGTGTCGCCCAGGCTGGAGTGCAGTGACAATCACAGTTCACAGCAGACTTGACTTTGTGGGCTCAGGTGATCCTTCCACCTCAACCTCTTGAATAGCTGGGACTACAGGTGCACACTACCACACCTGGCTAGACTGTGTGTGTGTGTGTGTGTGTGTGTGTGGTGTGTAGTGTGTAGTGTGTAGTGTTGGGAGTCATACTATGTTGCCCAAGCTGGTCTCAAATTATGGGCCCTAGCAATCCTCTGGTTCTGGCCTCCCAAAGTGTTGGGATTACAGGCGTGAGCCACTGCGTCCGGCTGAAAATATTCTTATTAGATTCAAGTGCCTTCTGGTCATAAGAGAAGAGCATGCCTTACTTTACCTTTTGTTGAGCCCTCCCCATACAGTGGCCTGCACCAGTAGGTGGAACACATTGGCCCCTGCACAGTAACACAGGAAAGTCACACAGCCACACCATTCACTGTGAATGCCTACTATGAACCAAGTGCTTTAATGTGTTTCTAATTTTTCAAACAACCCCAATTATAGGTAAGGAGACTGAGGCAGGGAGAACCAACCACTCACAGAGCAGCAAGTGTCAAGGCTGCACACCAAATGTTACTGTGAAGCCCACTTCTCCCCCAAGTGCTAGTGTCCTATGGCAGGGACTCCCAGTCCCTGGCCATGAACCAGTACAGGTCCATAGCCTGTGAGAAACCGGGCCGTTCAGCAGGAAATGAGTGGTGGGCAAGTGATCGAAGCTTCATCCGTATCTACAGCCGCTCCCCATCACTTCCATTACCGCCTGAGCTTCACCTTCTGTCAGATCCACAGCAGCATTAGATTCTCATAGAAGCATGAGAAACATTGGGGACCACTGCCCTATGAAACTTAAAATAAACTGTGAACTGTGCATATGAGGGATCTAGGTTGCGGCTTCTCTGAGTTGGAGTCTCACTCCATCGCCCAGGCTGGACTGCAGTAGCATGCTCATGGCCACCCCAGCATCAACCTGCTGGGCTCAGGTGATCCTCTAAGGAACTTCAGGCACACACTTCCACGCCCAGCTAATTTTTCTATTTATTTTAGAGATGAGGTCTCGCCAAGTTGCCCACGCAATCCTCTCACCTTGGCCTCCCAAAGTGCTGGGATTACAGGCTTGAGCCACTATACCCAGCAAGTTGCAGCTTCTTATGATAAGCTAATCTCTGATGATCTGAAAAGGAGCTAAGGTGGTGATGCTAGTGCTGGGAAGCATCTGCAAATACAGATTAACACTAGTAGTAAGGTTTGACTGCACAGACTATAATAAATCAACTGCTTGCAGACTCATATCAAAACCCTATCAGCGAGCAGCAAGTCAGTTGATGCACTTCAGTTGTACAGCTGCATCTGGTGACAGGCTTTAAGTCAGAATGCAACACTTATTTTAGTCCCCACATGGTCCACTCATTTATTTACCACTTCTGTCTACATCTCTTTTATGGTGAGTTGTGTAATTATTTCATTACATATTACAATGTAATGATAAACTGCACAATAAATGTGCTTGAATCATCCTGAAACCATCCCCCCAACCACACTGTGGAAATACTGTCTTCCACAAAACCGGACCCTAATGCCAAAAACATTGGGGACCACTGCCCTATGAAACTTAAAATAAATACGCCCACTTTGCTGCTTCAGATTTGAGAGCAAGGCTGGGACCTGAGGTTCTCTTGCATGGGCTTCTCCTCTCCATCAGGGCCTTAGCGCCAACCCACAATGTACACACAGTATCTCACGTAACTCAAGATTTGCTGAGGTCCACACTGTGCTGAGCACTGTGGGGTGCCAGCAGTTCAGCAGTGAACAAGTAGACCTGGATCTGTGTTTTGAGGGACCTGTGGATACCCCACAATGCAGAGCACCAGGTATACCAGTCTCCTGCCTGATCTCACAGCTCCTGTCCTCATGCCTTATGTGACAGCCTCCTGTGTCCTCTGAGACACAGGAGCTGGACTCTGCTCTGGGAAGGCCGAGACTCTGACCAAAGCCAAACCACAAGGCCTTCAGGCTGACTGAGCTACACAACTCCTACCAACAGATCCGAGTGTTGTTTAGTTTGTGGCCAGCCACAAGCTTCACAGAGCCCTGCAGCTTCAGAGGATCTTCATGGTAAACACATCCTGGCTAGAAGTCGGAAGTGGCATTTGATAACTGACTCAAGCAATGAAGGTGTGGATCCCAATCAGAGATAAGTCTCACTCTGATGCTGGTGTGCCTTAGACCCTTCCCTGAAGCTGGCTCATCTTCCTCTAACAAAGAGGGCAGGACTCAGGTCCAGAGACAGGGAGGTAATGGGGCAGGATTATCATTTAATATCATGTATCATTTATCTTTTGTTTTCATTGCATTTCTCTTTTATACATTTATTTCTGTATTCCATTTTTATTCACGGCAAATGACAGCAGTATTTCTTGTATACCTAATACTGAAGTGCACTCCACATCTTTAAAAAAAAGGACAGCAATATTTAATAATTTCTGGCAAAACATTATTAGGATCAAAGACAGTACAAGTTTGAGGATTAAGTCACAGGATTGGGAGTTACAGTTTGAATCATGGATATGCCACAGCCTTGGAAAAGTTACAAACTTTCTGAATCTTGGTTTTTCTTCTGTAAAATGGAGATACTGACTTATAATCTCCTACCTAAAAAATAAGAAAATAAAAACTAAACATGTGTTCAGTGCACTCATACCACGAGTGGAAGGTCCAGGTTGCTGAAATTTAAAAGCAACAAAACATCACAACAGAGAATGTTGTTTTATCTCCTGGTTTTATTAACTAGCCACAGGCAACCCAGGTGACAGAGATTGTCTCATTCCCTTCATACTTTAGTTTTAAAAGGTCAATTACCATAACCTAGCTAAGTACCAGCTGCATACACAAACTTACTTCTTTACATAGAATTGTGTTTTCAGGATAACTGAAGTATAACACAACCACAATCTATGATTCCATATAAATTTCCAGATCAGAAAATACTTTATCCTTCCAAGCCTCTTCCAGTCACTATCAATACACAGGGTGAAACCAGGTTGTTTCTACAAAAAAGTTTCCTTGTAACATCCAAATAGTGTCAATTCTCTGGTTTAGTGTTATTTAAGATGTTTTCATTGGGGGAAGTTGGGTGAAGGGTATACAAGATGTATTGTTTTCCAGCTTCCTATGAGACTACAATTATTTCAAAATCAAAAATATTTTAAAAACCAAAGCAAAGATGTAACTTATTTTATGTTTAGAGATGAGGTCTTGCTATATTTCCCAAAGTGGTCTCAAACCCCCAGGCTCAGGAAATCCTCCTTCCTCAGCCTCCCTAATAGCTGGGACAAAAAGTGCACACCACTGCACCTGGCAAAAATGTTACTTATAAAACTGAAAGATGCCGGGTGTGGTGGCTCATGCTTGTAATCCCAGTACTTTGGGAGGTGGAGGCGAGAGGACTGCCTGAGCCCAGGGATTCGAGACCAGCATGGGCAACTTGGCGAGACCGCGTCTTTAAAAAATTAAAATTTAAAATTTAAAAAAAACCCTGAAAGAACAGATCATAAAATAAAAATACTTCAGCTCAAATTTCAAAAGAAAATCTGGAAAGTCTTAAGAGAGCTTGGGTGTCACCTGCCCAATGTCTCCCTCGGTCAGGGGACCCTGAGGCCCAATGGAAAAGGCTCATTTAACAGGTCCATTGCCACCTCTGTCACTGATAAGCACAAGGTCAAGTCGCTCTGCTATCCCCAACTCATGCATCATGAACGCTTTCAGCTAACGATGAACACGTAGGGAGGGAGAAAGGCTTCCTAAACTTGTGAAAAGTCAACAAGAGCACCCCCTGCACGGAGGCCTCCCACACCAACCACTGATCCGGGCAAAGTCAGCCAGGGGTGAGCTGCCCGGACCCCCGCCCTGCCGGGTCTCATCTCGGGCCCTCCCACGGCCCCAGCGACTCGGCACCGCTCAGGGCGAGCCTGTCCTTCTTCTCCTTCAGCAGGACCTGCTCCTCCCACAACGCCTGGTCCACCTGGTCGTCGGTGAGCACCACGGGCTTGTACTTCTCGTCGAAGAGCTGCTCGTTGGCCTCGGAGCGCAGCTGATGGGCCCCGACCACGCGCAAGTGCGCAGGCAGGTGGAGGAACTCGTCGTCGTTAATGTCGCAGTCGTGCATCCGGGCCCTCAACACCCACCAGCGACCCGCGAAGCCCACGTCCAGGACCCGCCCCGGGAAGTCGACCCAACGGGGCTGCAGGTAGCGGCAGCGGGCCTGGTAGAGGCTGGCCTGGGCGTCGCAGGGCGCCTCGTACACGAGCGAGCAGAGCCCCA